GAGTTCTTGGTCAAGTTACATTTCCTACAGTTTAGAATTCAGGATTATCGTTCGCCTAGACTGGGTTCTAGCCAACACTAAAGGCCCCAGTCTAACACACTATTCAACTTGTAGATGTAGAAGATAATGTTTCTTGGCTTTCCCAAGGTCATGAATGCGAAAGTGAACGCCACAATGTAGTCCGGGATTTGAACTTTGCTCGCCGATTTCATTTTCCGCGCCTATAAGCTTTACGCTATAATTTTTTTCTTGTCATTTTCTTTTGTTTTCAAATCCTGGACGCCTCTGCTTTAGTCGGGTTGCTTGTCTGTGGTTGATAGTAGTTACATTGCCCCTTATTATATTAAGTTGTATTTCGAATACTTTTCGTATATACTGTATTTATTTAAAACGAAGATAATCTCAGTGCAGTGACACTCTGGTATATTAAATTGTTGAAATTCATCATTCATTGCCGATACTGGCTTTAGTATCACGCGCTCACTTGAAAATCTCGTATTATCTCGTTGGTCGCGTAATTTCAGAGAATCTCATAGGGCTATTTAGGACAGACGTTACAGTCGCCTTAGCGTTTATTATTAGAATGCGTGATGATAAGAGTGGTAGAGGGATGACGTCAGAAGTGGTAGTAGTCGTAATGTAGTCGCCAACAATTTATCAAAATAAAATTATGCCGACACTTGACGATTCATACATGCGTTCGTTTGTAATTTTTTTGTACTATTTTTTTTCTGCTTTCAAACAATCAGATAACATGTTGAGTTATTTATGATTCTTTTTCCCTACATAAATGGCTTTTATCTTGATAATGTTTTTAAGCGTGGATTTTGTGCTACCCGATCTTTGATTTATTTTCCGACACGAAATGGGCCTATGTCAGTCACCATGGGGATAAACCGCAACGTATTTGTCTCTCAATATTTGACTTGTCGTGTTCATTTTGGTTATTATATTTCGTAAGCTTTCGGAATGGCGTAGGAAGATTCTGTGGCGCTAATTCTGCAAGCGTGAGAGAATTCGTTTGTCTGCTTTGAAATTCAGCATGAAAAACACGGATTTCGAACCATTTTCTGAATTTCTGAATTTTTTCCTGAGAATTTTAAACAAATCATTTCACAACATTAACGTTAATGGTGAAAATAACCGTTTCCATATAGGAAATATTCTCCATTCATTGATCAAGCAGTTAACGTTACTGTCGATTGAAATTTACAAAATATTTTTCCTGAAACATCTTCTTTTCCTAAAAATAAGGTTCTCAAGTCCACTAAATATTATATCTCTTTCTAGTATTAATGAAAGTTACCTTCCTAACACTTTGTTTTTGGTAGTGTGGAAAGCCAATATCTTTATTGTCTCGTTATTTTCCCTTCTAGTTACATGTGATATCCATTTTAGCTGTTGCTCTTATCTGAAGTCTTCAAACGACGTCGTTTCTTTGTGATTTCTGTAGCAGTATTCTACAAGACTTGGTGGAGAATTGTCTCCTTTAAAATTTAGAGAGTTCATCCGATTGAAGCCATTTTTAATCATTGATTTTAGCAAACGGTTGTATATAGGTAATATAGTTTATACTCTTCTGAGCGTGTTTGACAACTAATATGGCATTCATCTTGTAGAAAAATCACGTGGTAGAGATAAACACTCAGTTGTGGAGCAAGCTAAGTGAATAATAATCCAACCTTTAGAAAGAGAGCTATTTATGTTGCCATGGAGCATCTCATTGTGCTAAAGTGGGATAGGCCATTGCTTGGGCTGTGATTGGCTGCTGGTACCTGAGTGGAGGTATTTCTATATAAATACCAGCTTGATTCATCAGTTAGTTTGCAGGGTTTGTATTAAGTTACAACCTGCTTTATTTTTGTCTGCCAGCTGGACGCTAGCTGGGACCTTTACACCGGTAAGTGCTGTTTATTATTTTTATTCTACACATCTAAGTAAATTTTAAAACACACTTCTAAGATTTCCATAGTATTGTGCAGACATGTTGCTGAGAAAATATCCATCAATCTAATTACGTTTCTTGAAAAGCTTTCATTATATGAGACTTTCTATTAATTTTATTGATTTTTCATTTATCTCAAGCAAATTGAGATATGACCAAGATCCATAGCGATAAGGTCAAAATCCAATTTGCCGAAAAGCAAACAAACAACAAATCCACATTTCTTTGCTTTGAAATATACATCAGACCGAGTTTTTAACTTTATTAACAAAGTAAAAAATCCCGATGTCTATTAAATTTATAAATATTATTCTTTTTTAGTTGATGTTTATTTAATCTAACTTTTGCTTACATATCACCGCAACTTTCATCGAGAACTTCTATGTTATGATCTTTATGAAAACGAATTAACTCCCAGCAAGTTTATAAATTTCGTGCCTTATTTTCTGGGGTGTGGGTTCGAATCTCGCCGTTGGCGTTTTGTTTTTACTTCTAATTCATATTGTTTATACGTGATTAATTCCTAAAATACCGGTTTGGGAGCTGCGAAGAACAGAAACACCGATTAAATAAATAAATAAAATCTCGCAGCAGATAATTACTCCCGTCGTTTTGTTTTGAATTCTTGTAATAAATCCATTCGTCATCGACTATTCTCTACTATTTTCTTATTTTTCCAGTAACAAACAAAATGAGAAATGCCAGTGTTTAAACTTTATGCGAATTCAGGTTGAAGCTCTTTTACAAGCTTCCGGGTTTATTTTTCTAAGAGTTGTAAACGATTCACTTCGCAAGCAATAAATAGCTGAGTAAACTTTAATGACAGTTTTAAGATTCCCCTAGTATTATTCAGAAATATTCCTTGCAATATTTACGCTAATCTAAGTGCGTTTTTCTTTAATGTTTTCTTTGTATCTGACTTGGAAATTTAATTGGAAAATTGAGATAAGATAAAAAAAAATTCGTAAAATTTTCTTTCCTTTGAAATTTATACATCAAACTAAGCTACGAATTTTATTACGACGCATGAAATCCCTCGGTTTATTAACTGTGTACATATTATTATTGTTGTAATTGTTTCTCTCGCTTAAATTTCTCTTGATTTACAGTCCAAGTCTCCTGCCGGAATTCTGATACAATAGACGGGGAAATTAATAAACCTCTGTTTCATTAACATATTTTAATCAAGCTACCCACTCCTCTAAGCAAGGCGATGATGCCAATAAAATGCAAGGGGATACTGGGAATGAAATATATTGAAAAAATACTTTAGAAAGAACCGGAAATCCAATCCTAAACAGATTCCTAAAAAAAAAAATAATGAAACATGTTCATTTAAATTGCGATTGAAACATGAAAATACACATAATTTACGTGCAAGCCACACATTAAAGCAACTAACATAGCGCTTGACTTGCATATTTGTATATATTTTACATGTTAGCAATCTTCACCGTCGTATAAAGTTATAAAAAAATAACTCGATTATATGAACTCCCCAATGTATGACTAGCATTACTATTGAAATTTCACCGTTTTCTGATTTAAATTTCTGGTGAATCTTAATTCTTCAGTTAATGATTGAGTAAGCTCATGGCGAGTTCTATGACAATAAGATATCAATAGAAATTTCCTATCGGATCGTTAAATATTTGAGCTTAACAACTTTAAAAAAAATATTGCAATAACAACAATAATAAATATGAATGCTGTTTGTTATTTTTAGAACTTGGTACAAAGAAAAGATTTGAAATTGACATTTTTTCCATTTCACTGAAACAGGTGCTAAACCTTTCTATCTTCCTCTCTTTCTTCCATCATCCCACTGAAACCAAGTAGCGTCGTTGATATGTATTTTGTCTTCCCATGCTCTCCAAACTGAATAGTCCATTTTATATGAGCTATTAGCAGGAAACGTTAAACACTTCTTTCTTTCTTTCTTTCTTTCTTTCTTTCTTCACTGAAAGCAAGTAGCGTCTCTGATAAGCCTTTTGTCTTTCCATGCGACCATTTTCTCACTGAAACCAAGTATAGACTTTCCCCTCTTTCCTCGCAATCGAAACAGAATAGTCCATTATTGACGAGGTCAATAATAGACTATTCTGTGAGCAGCCATTCATCTTGACCGGTGTTAGGTCTGGATCCGATTGTTGATGATGGTATGTAACTAGTTTGGTTTACGAGGAATTTTATAACAACCAGTCAGTATTTCACCCTCTGATATGTTAAAGCTCGATCGGGGGAGAGATCAGCCGCCAATCTCTGGCCATCAAGAGTTTTGGAGGCGAAAAATAATAAATGAAAAAGATTAAAGAATATATCAGCAAGGGAAAATCGACTGCCAAATAGAAACGTTCATACAAAATGTATTAACCAAGTCAATGTGTTTCTGTAAAACTTATATTGATAAAGTTTTCAATATTAATACATGAATATTTCTTTTAGAGTTAGTTTCTCTTTGTACAAGACTCGAGAGTCACTCGAGGTGGAAGGTTACAGAATATTAGACAAAATTTATGCGGATATGTGCGGAAGATAACAATTAACCCTAGTTTTGAACTGGCTAAGGTTGTAGTGATCGGGGAAACATCATCTTGGGTATCGGTTTCCACAGAGCATTGGTTCGCGGCAAGAAGCTGCTCGAGTGGGACTTACTTCTCATGAATGGAATACGGAGGGAATGGCGATGGTTCACCACAACGCCAGTAGCATGGCGGATCCTATCCGTAAAGGCTAGAACTGGTAGAATGTAGTTCGTCTGAGCACTTTCTATGGAATTAGCGATAGAGCAGCGAAAAGCTTGCGATGTCTCCTCTGTGAGATATAGCCACGGATGTACGTCTGGCGCCGTCGTTGTGTTGAAATTTGCAATATACCTGATACTAATCCTCTTTATATCAGTTTGTTATAATTACGGAACACAAGGGATTTGGCAAGTTCATTTCTTTTAATGCTATGATAATTTTTTTGACTCAGATGTTAATTACACTCTCCGTTAATTATTTCCACTAAACAGTTTTTACATAAAAATACTGCTAAAAAACTAGCATCATCATCAAATGAAATGGCAAAGAAGATAGATGAATAATAGATAGATGAATATGAACAAATTAGATGAATATATGATAGATAGATAGATAGATATGAACAGAATGGGATGGAATGAATGAATAGATAGATGAATAGATAGATGAATGAATAGATATGAACAGAATGGGATAGATAGATGAATAGATAGATAGATAGATGAATAGATAGATAGATGAATATAAACAGAATGGGATAGATAGATAGATGAATAGATATGAACAGAATGGGATAGATGATGACAGATGATGAGATAGATAATTGAATGGAATGAACTTAATAGGATCGACAATTGAAAAACTGAAATAGATTATATCTACTACACATTTTCAACACAAAACGATTGTGAAAACCAGTATATACAATGAGCTCCATAGTTAGAAATATTAAAAGAAGCTATATAGAAATGTTGCTAACATCAGTATATAGAACTAACTATATAGAAACAGATAGATAGATACATGAGAAAGATAACAATTAGCCCTAGATTTGAACTGGCTAAGATTGTAGTGATCGGGAAAATATCATCTTGGGAGCCGGTTTCCACAAAGCATTGGTTCGGGGAAAGAAGCTGCTCGAGAGGGACTTACATCTCACCAATGGATTACAGAGGGAATGATGATTATTCGCCACAAGGCGAGTAATAACTTTTATGCAGTTATCTACCTGAGATATAAAAACTATTTCTATGGGAGCACAAAAATAAAAAGGTTGAGAAACGTTGAACTCGAGGATTGACGCATTAATTTGTGGATTTGGTAGTATAGAAAATGGTGAATTTTATTTCCTTTGCCGGATAGCACAAGACAAAGACTCAGATCCAGTGGAAAGAATTCAAGCAACAACTGAGCAGAACTGAAATAGAATGAAACACGATATCCCTCGAGAGAAACAGCGGGACGAAAACAATCTACCGCCATAGATAAAATAAAGAGTTTAATTCGAAATTCATTGAAGATTGTCCGGATAAACAAATACATGAAGAAGGTCGAATCATATAACGGTCGAAACCTAATAACGACAACAAAGATGAAGACGTTATACCGACAGTAAATGTTGTGATGTTGGGTCTGGCAAGACACAACACTTAACTCGATAGAGTCAGACGTGATAGTAGTATTCAGTACACAGCTAGGCAAGTCACTATAATAGCATTATCTCCTTTCTCCGAAACAGTTACCCAGGACTACTTATCATGAATGGATCAGTCCATTCATTACAGTAAGGAGGATACCTGGCTCTTAACACAACAGTAAATAATGTAAATAATGATAACTCCTCATTCTATAAATTCCAAAGTGAAAGCATCTACTAAAAGCATGAATCCGTTTATTTGAAACTCCTTTACGCTTTGCATTAAATAACAATATAGACTGGACAATTTTGAATTGGAAACGAAGTCAATGGAAAAATGATTCGCTAAATTTTCCAATAAGTCAATTCCAAAAATATGCATAAAACAAACCCCTTCGCGTGTTGAAGCTAATTCATAGAATTAGGAAAGGTGCGATTAATCTTAGTTTAATGAATGTGAACTAATATTTTCGACAAGTTCATTTCTTCTAATGCTATGATAATTTTGACTCAGATATCAATTACACTCTCCCGTTAATTATTTCCACTGAACATTTTAAACACCAAAATACTGCTAAAAAAACTAGCATCATCGATAGAAATAACTTAAAGAAGATAGATGAATGGAGATAGATGAATGGTGAATATGAACAGAATAGAGATAATAGATATAGATGATAGATATGAATAGATAGATGAATATGAACAGAATAGATGAATGATAGATAGATAGATAGAATAATGAATGTATATGAACAGAATGGGATAGATAGATAGATAGATAGATAGATGAATATGAATAGATAGATACAATTGAAAAGAATAGAGATATCTACTACTTTTTCAATTAGAAAAACCGGTATATGCAACAAAACAAAGTTAGAAATAGATTATAAAAATCTACTAACATCGGTATTTTCAACATAAAGATAGATAGATTGTGAAAACCAGTATATATGAACAGAATGGGATAGATCCAAAAGATAGATAATAGATTAAAAGAATGAGATCGACAATTAGATAAAATGTTATATCTACACATTGCTAAAACATCAGTATGTAACGAACTAAAGTTATATAAAAACAAAAAATGTGCTGATAGAACTAACTATATAGAAACAAACTGATAGATAGATAGATAGATAGATAGATAGATAGATAGATAGATATTCTTAGAGAAATGGCCGAGATAAGTATATCTTCAGGCTGACAGGTGACAGAAAAATCCATCTCATAAACAATTACCCGCTCTGCACAAACCTTGAGGAGCGACAAAAAAATCGTTTGAAACGCCTTAATCAAGAAGCAAGCCTCAGAACAATTGTTTATGGTTTAGTAAGCAACATCAAAGGAAATATCAGATGGTCGAAGGTTCCGAAACATATCGCTCAAGCAGTCACTCTCTATACGTACGAACATCATTCTAAATATATGAATACAGAAAAGGAAATAAATCATAAAAAACGTCATTATTATTTCTTGTTCTTGTTCTTGTTCTTGTTTCTGTTCTTCTTCTTCTATGTACTATGTACTTTAAGGACGTGGTCAGTCATGGCTCTCCACAATTTCCTGTCCTTTAAAGCTCTTAGTAAATTTGTCTTTTTGCATTTTCTTCTACATCCCGTTTGTGTCAACCATTCACAGTATTTCGTTAAGTAGGTTATGTGTCGCTTTCCTCTGTTTCTCTTAGATAGATTTGAACAGACCTAGATAGATAGATAGATAGATAGATAGATAGATAGATAGATAGATTTGAACAGACCTAGATAGATAGATAGATAGATAGATAGAATATAGATAGATAGATTTTGAAACAGACCTAGAATGAATGAATGGGATAGATTTGAACAGACCTAGATAGATAGATAGATAGATTTGAACAGACCTAGATAGATAGATAGATAGATAGATAGATAGATAGATAGATAGATAAGTTTGAACAGACCTTGATAGATAGATAGATATATAGATAGATAGATAGATAGATAGATAGATAGATTTGAACAGACCTAGATAGATAGATAGATAGATTTGAACAGACCTAGATAGATAGATAGATAGATTTGAACAGACCTAGATAGATAGATAGATAGATTTGAACAGACCTAGATAGATAGATAGATAGATAGATTTGAACAGACCTTCATAGATAGATAGATAGATAGATAGATAGATAGATTTGAACAGACCTTCATAGATAGATAGATAGATAGATTTGAACAGACCTAGATAGATAGATAGATAGATAGATAGATAGATAGATTTGAACAGACCTAGATAGATAGATAGATAGATAGATTGAATAGATAGGATAGATACATAGATGAATACAGATGAATAGATAGATTGAACAGACCTAGATAGATGATAGATAGATAGATAGAATAGATAGATAGATAGATAGATAGGATTTAGAACAGACCTTCATAGATAGATAGATAGATAGATGGATTTGAACAGACCTCATAGATAGATAGATAGATAGATAGATTTGAACAGATAGATAGATTTGATAGATAGATAGATGAGATAGATATAGATAGATAGATTTGAACAGACCTAGATAGATAGATAGATAGATGAATAGATAGATTTGAACAGACATAGATAGATAGATAGATAGATAGATAGATAGATAGATAGATAGATTTGAACAGACATAGAATAGATAGATAGATAGATAGATGAGATAGATAGGGTTGAACATACATGGATAGATAGATAGATAGATAGATAGATAGATAGATAGATATATGGATGATAGATAGATTCAGATAGATAGATAGATAGATAGATAGATAGATGGATAATTTGAACAGACATAGATAGATAGATTTGAACAGACATAGATAGATAGATAGATAGATTTGAACAGATCGATATAGATAGATAGATAGATAGATAGATAGATAGATAGATAGATAATATAGATAAACCGAATAGACTAGCTAGATAGATTCTTTAATACCTGCAGAACTATAATGATGGAGCCGGGGATTTTTTCAGCTAGCTATTTACACTCTGTTACGAGCATGGACCAGTAATTCCATAACGTAACAAGGAATTATTAGCAGAACTTTGATCTGAAATCTTTACTGCAATGTTCTTTCTATATTATAAATATTCATCAGTTAATTAAATGTTTTGACAGAGAAGAAAATTATGTTGCAAAATAAAAAAAAGACTCGCTTAAAATAAATGCTTCATAATTACGCTGCATTTCTTGATATATCTATATAAACCTAGCGTTGGTAGATATTTCGTAAATTCAACCTTGTCCTTATTACTTTTTAACTATTTTATTATATAATTAATGTTGCTTTTTAGCAAAAGATTCTGGTCTAGTTTACATGATACTTAAATAATCAGCCTGAATCGGAAAAATAAATTATTTCGTGGTAGAATTCTCCTAATACAAGACTCGTGAGCACCTCAAGATAGAGGGTTAGAATAGTGATGAATGAGGTGTGATATCGGTAAAGGAATAGGTGGTGATGATTATGAGAATAAGGGGAATAGATAACGATTGATCCTTGACTTCAAGAGGTTGGCAGCCTCCGAGAAAATTCTATCTATCTTCTCGTATCCTAAGGGTCAGTTTGTAATGAACAGCACCTTACCGAATTGACAGCGACCAGTCAAGAAGCATACTTGTAATTTAGTCGTACAGCTCCGCCTCGAAAAGGAATAATGCTCGAAGTCTCTTTCCATTCTGTTGCTTTTTGTCTAATACTTGTGAAGTTGGTTATAACATCCTTGTGTCAATATAGACATCAATTAAACTGAAGCATCACGATTCATCCTGCTTGAACATGTGTAATCTCCCGTGCAAACATGATTGCATGGTCAGTGGTATAGAGACGAAGTTAGTGATACCGACTGCGCATTGACAAGTCAAAGCTATTTCAATCTGTTCCGCCTCGAACAAGCAATTAGTTTCAATATTTTACACGGCAAAGAGAAGGAGATAGGCAGCAAGGAATTTGAGGAAAAAAAAGCCGAAGAAAAGAAAAGAGGGAGGTTCGTAATAATCCTCCCTAATCTTGTCGCAGTCTATTTGTATTGTATCTTTAGATCCCTTTTCTTACTTTGCGAAATTCTTTTTCGATCATTACGCGCCGCTGTGTTCTCTGTGATGCCGCTAATCAGCCAAGCGTTTTGCTTATTGTTTCTTGCTCGATTAGAAAATCAACCTGATTACGTTTAATCCAGTACTTTCAAGCTTAATCCCTGTTCATATTTTGGGTCACAACTTCTACTCGCAGAAGAAAGAACATAAAAGCTGAACGACAAAAACGTCAATAATTATTATATATATATATATATTTTTTAAGCATTGTGCCACAAACAAGGCGTGAAGCCACTAGGATGCAGGGGGTTGCGGAAGATTTGGAGCAAGAGCAGATAAGAGTGATAGGAGAAAGGAAGAGGAGAAGGATAGTGGGTAGATCAAGGTAACTGGAGATGTCGATTGACATTACATTTGAATAGTTGGAGATTATAGCTTTCAGGGAAACAGTAATTGGGAAAGGGTATTCCACAGGCGAGAGGTGCGAGGTATGAAGCTATTGGAGTAGAAGAGACGGCTACATTTGAAGGTTTCTACGGTGTAAGGGTGAGAGCGGGATGCCAGCCTCGTAGGGCGCTTGAATTCATGGAGTCTGGGAACCAGAGAGAGCAGCTCATCAGAGCAGTTACCATGGAAGTATTTGTAGAAAAGACAGAGAGTGGCGACGGCGCGTCTGTGAGAGAGTGACTGCAGACAAGACGCTAGATCAGGGCCAATTAGATTACATATCCGTCTCTGGATCTTGTCAAGAACTCCGAGGTAAGCAGAAGGTGCTCCAGCCCATATATGGCAGCAATACTCCATGCAAGGGCGAATGGTTGTTTTGTATATTTATATAACAGATTTGTTCTGTCAGTAACACATTAAATCTTAACCCCAGACAATAGTTTTCAAGCCTTTTGTTTCTATAGTAAAATGATAGATAATTCACATCTTTCATCGAGTAATTAGTCCTATAGTTAATTCATTAGCATTTTCCTGGTAAAATTAATTGTGATGATTTCTACAGAAATATAATTGACATTAAACTTCTGTATTAAATAGAACAACTGCGTCCTATCGGACAAGATTGCGTTAATTTCTGGTCCCTGATAATTGCTTTCATTCTGATTTTCAGTAAATAACTATAATAAAATCATTTACTGTGCATATGTCTTGTGAGATTATTTGGTATGTTTTTTCTGTAGCAAAATCATTAAAACTGGATTAACATTAGAAATATCAGAATCATTTCCTGTTTGTGTTGTTCAGTTGTAAAATGAACTCGTCTATAGCCGGTGTTTTATAAGCAGTGGCGCTCAGGGCATTTGCTATCATTTTACTGATTCTTGAACTGTACACATGTAAACGAAGATATCCGCCTGAGTATCAACCTCTACAAATAATTTTTTGCCGTTGCAGAATACGGAATTATAACAGTCAGTAATACTTGCATTCATTTCTAACTACTGACAATTACATTTTTCTAACTTTCAATGTAATTCACTAGTAGGTTACAATGTCTTTCTACAGTAAGATTACTTGCGCTTTTTTTACTGTCGTAAAACCATAAGCGCTGCAGCTGCATGTTACTGATTGTATCACTTCCTTTAGTGTATTACTAGTGTAAAATAAATAATATTTCATTGATTGATTCAGTTTCTACGCTTTATCAACACTATGTAGGTTATTTAAAGCGAGAAAATATTTTTAAATTGTAAGAATGTTTTTTGTAGATAATAATGATTTAATTATGCAAGTCATACTAATTAACCCATAGCTGGGGGGAGAAGAGGGGGATTCATAAATTTCCAAAGGTTATTTGCGCGTAAGTGAATATAACAAACGTAACGGGAATAGGAACTTAACTCTCCAATTAAGAATTTACGCGCCATTATCCATTACAACAACTGCATATCCAAGCTTACAGCATATGGTATTCGCAAACGGTCAACCATTTAGGTACTGACCAGGCTTGACGTTGCTTAACTTCGGTGATTGTACGGGAATCTGTGTTTCAATGTAAAAGTAACGCATCTGCATTATACACAATGATGGCCCTATACTTTTAGGAATGCTTACCTTAATTGTAGATTTTTAGGTATTTCAATAGTAAAATACATTGCAATCATTTTATATAGGAAATTCATAAGAAATGCATTTATATTGATCATATAATATATATTCTCTTAGTAAAACGGACCTACTAAACGAATTCTAATCAATGTCAAAATAGAACTGTCATAATTTCTAAGACTCCTACACTTACGTTAAAGTGTGCGATATTATTATTATATACGTAATCATGAGAAAAAAGAAAAGTCTTTACAATATTTGCTTAACAATTATCTAATTTCTTTCTACCTTAAAACTATTTAATTTGCCTTAGATGCATTGCTACAATAAAACAAGATGCATTGTACATTTTTATGAGATTTTATTACGCAAGTCAATGAATTCCTGATATTTGTATTAACCGACCAATGTCCTTATGTTTACGGTATAATTATATTCAGTGAAAAAAAAAACATACCGTATACATTTAGAATTATCTATTTTCATTAGGAATCTCTAAAATAGATTTTTTCTACTACCGTGAGAGTTTATGTGACTCGGGATTTGTAAATCCTATTCTAAATAAATATATCAGTTTGAAACGAAAGTTCTGTCCGATTTTTTCGATGAAAATGGTGAACAAAATGCATTAAAGTATTGTGTATTTATGTTGTTTAGTAATGCTTCTATAAGGAACTTATATTTTTCGCTTTCAAATCACAAAAATATTATTCATAATATAATTTGAAACTTGCCACGTCGCCTGATAATTGCGTCTAGCATGAAACAGTCTGTCACCTCTGAGTGTTGATTTCAATGTTCACTTATATATAATATGTGTTTGTGTGTAATATATATATATATATATATATATATAAATATAAATAAATAAAAAAAAAAAAAATCATTCACAGCTCATCAATTTGGCTAGACATCCGATCGCCTCATGCCGGGACCGAAACCAGACCGATTTGGTATCAAATTCTAACCCCTAGTCTATCGGCCCCGGCAAAGAGAATGGTAATTTTTGCGTATTTATTTTTTCATAAATACGCCAGTGAATTCACGCTTTCTCACACACAGATATATATATATATATATATATATATATATATATATATATATATATATATATATATATATATATATATATATATTAAAAGAAGAGGGTGCCGCAAATGTTTTTGGTTGTAATGTGGATTTATTGAGAGAAAAATATTATACCATAATTTCACGACTTTTTGTTTCTGGTCTGGTCTCGCAACCGTCTTCAGGTGAAAGTGGAGATTTTTACATATTATTAAAATAATTAATTTTTTCTTCATGTTCAATGTGGAATATTCTCGATATGAGACATTCTGTTTGTGTGTTGGCAATCCGAATTTTCTTTCTAGAATTGTCAATGAAGAGTTCTGCGTGAAGGGTCATAAAACAAAAAAGCACCCCCTCTTCTTTTTTAATATACATACTTTTTCTCGTTGGAACCACTACAACATATTTCTTTTTTATATATATATATATATATATATATATATATATATATATATATATATATATATATATAAAAAAAAAAACAACAAATTAGTCTAAAATCGAAGCAGTAAGGTGATTTCGAAGCGAAGCTCAGATGTGGCACAAGGCCTTAAATATGGTGCACACAGTGAGGAACGAACTCACTATACAACTGTAATTGATCTAGCGAGACAAGCTTGCTAAACTTTACACCTCTTTGAAGAGCCCAAACGGCAATTTTCAAAGTTTAGATGTGACACAAGGCCGAATGTATGGGGCACCCAGTGAGAAACGAACTCATTACACTGATATAGCAATACGATCTTGCTAACCATTACACCACGTCGACGTGCCCGAATCAGGACTGTAGCGGCTCGGATTGAGGAATGGGAGAGCCGAGTTCGAATTTCAGTGGAATCCATTATATTCACTTACGTAGGAAAAGGTATGAATCATCTTCTTCTCTCCCCACCAGCTATGGGTAAATAGCAGGACAGACTGGGTTCTATAGCATTGGATGGCAACTGGTCTACCGCAGAAAGAAATTCCAACCTACTGCGGGGAAAAAAATCTGCCTCGTCAGTCATGTATCGAAAGATACATAATCTTCTAAGCGCATATCAATCATAGCACATAACCGTCTGAAGTAATGTTAACAAAATCAATGATGACAAATTGATGAAACTCACAGAAAGTCCAGGATATCTTATCTATATGCAAAATTATAAAATAATAATTTATTCATGTATATTTGCGTTAATCAAATACATTTTTTTCGTTGGTTATGTGGTTTGGAATTAAGACAGAATTTATAATGCATTTATTTTGCTTATTCAATAAAACGTGAAGCCAACTAAAGAACATAATATAATGCTCAGATAAATATCTCCTGAAATCTTTACAAGCATTTTCAATGTTATATCTTCTCAAGGTGTAGGCGATCATGGCTCTTTAACAGATTCCCTTTCTTACCTGCGAATGACTTGTATTAATAGCGGTGTTTTCGTGTTAACTTCTGTACGATTTAGAATTCAGAGTAATACATCTCCTAGAAGAGGTACTACTCAAGGTAAGAGAGCCCAGTTTTTTTACTATTTAACAGCTTGAGAACAAGAAATAGATTCATGAATTTTTTAAGAGTATTTATTCGGAAGTAACTAGTCTCGATGATTCTACATTCCGGGCTTACGTCCAGCACATCTTCAGGGTGACTGAATAATAAATCCACGTTTTAAAATACTTATAATTTATTTATTAACTATAATTCTTACAAGAAATGGATAGGAGAGGAAAGCGTTTAGCATAAGGTTTTATTTAAAATTCGATATGGGCACCCAATTTCGCTACCAGCTTCTCGAGCCACCCAAGAATCGCACCAACTGTTTTCAACAAAAATTCTTGCGGTATGGAAGACATAACTTCTTGTATTCGCACTTCAAATTCTCCCAAAGTCTCATACATAAAATAGGGAATTACTTTTCAACCACCCTGTATTTTACCAGTAATAAGTTGTTTAATATCAGTTTTATTATGGTGACCATTGATTTTCATAACTTATGACATAATGTGTATGCTTTTAGTATTCTCTGTACCATTGAATATATGTAATCATTAGAGTGAATGAAAGTTTTCACCTTTAATAAAAATAATTGATAGAAAAGGAAAAGACTTATAACGAGAATAGCATATATTACTGTTTATAAATGTGCTTAGCGAATATGAATATCGTGAGTTCGATTGATTTGTTATGACAACGAGTCAACTTGTATCAGTGAGAGTGTTCGGGCGAGCATCAGACCGTAACTCATGACAATGCTTATCCAAATCGCGAATTCCTCATGTAGCAGTTAAATATTCTGAATGCCATTTGCCTGCTGGTGAACCGATTATATCAATCAACTGACAGTCGGGTGTGCTAAATAAAAGGCGACTGACTGTTAGAACTGTCGGTACATACAGACGATTATTGAGTTAGAATAGGTTCATGCAAGTTGATAGGATCGCAGTTTTATCTCGGCACAGTGAAACCTGATTGGTTGAAAAACTATTTTTCTACGCTGGATTCTGATTGGCTAGCATTATTTTTTGCTCTTCCATTTTGTTTTCTTTTGTAGCAAGTACGCATATACTTTGCGATGAGGTCGAGAGTTTGTCTTGTCTTTAAATAATGGAGAACTAGGCCATAAGGGCATTTATAAAGAGAAATATAGAACGAAAGCGAGAGACAAAAAGGAATACTTGCTAGAAAGAGATAGGTCGACAGAGGGGAAGCTTTTATAGCAATTCTTTTTGTTGAAGCCTAATAAATTAGAGATTAACTCTGCTTGTCTAAATAAACAAACCTAACATCTGGGATTTCACGAGAATGCATGTATTACATTATTTCTTTTTAGAATGCTATGTCTTAACAACAAGATCACTGGTCTAGGGACAAAAGTAACGACTTGGAAAATAGTGACAAAGAGGAAGAAAATGAAAGGAACAGAGAAAGAGAGAGAGAGAGAGAGAGAGTGTGTGTGTGTGTGTGTGTGTGTGTGGACAAAGAAGGACCAAGAGAGTGTGAATGCCATTAGTCTTTTCTCAGTAGTCTTGCAGCCATCTGTGTCGTCGTTCATCACTTTGTTCGACTGCCTCACGACCGGAAATGATAGCCGTGATGGCGATTTTATGACGTCGTCTCTAATATCGAGGGTCCATTAAAGCGACGCTACCCATCACCGACACATGCCCCGGTTTGTTTTACTGCACCTTAATGGCACCAACGAACTCCGTCATGAATCTCCAGTAGCCGCCATTTGCAGGACACGACATGTGATACTGATGGCATCTACAAGAGAATTCCTTCCCATTACACAGTTCGTGGGCGATTTGTAGAGAAGATATCATTTACACATGCAAACACGCCAGATCTTTCTTTCTTTCTTATTTTCTCTTTTTTATTATTATTTTTTTTTTCTTTTTAGAATAATGCATTTAATTAAATAATTTCCTTGATAAACTCCACGTTCTGGGTTAACTTAGTGGGTTAATTATTTGAGTAAGCGCCAGTGGTCGGAATTTGAGTTTAAGGGAAATCCAGTCGGAAATCCAATATTGGTATTGTCAATTACTTCATTTTGCTTTGTAATAATCGATTCTTAGTTGCCCTTCGATGTGATGTAATAGGTAGCAAGCTTTTCTCGCTAGATCAACTGCAACTGAGTAGTGATTTGTAAGTGACCGCTCTCGAGGCTCCATACTTTCAGCCTTGTGCCATATCTAAACCACGCTTAGGAAATCATTTTTGAGCGCCTCGACGTGACGTAATGTTTAGCAAGCTTGTATCACTATACCAATTACGACTGAGAAGTGAGTTCGTATCTAACTGGGTGCTCCATACATTCGACTTCGTGCAACATCTAAGCTACGCTTAGAAAATCATTTAGAACACTTTGACGTAATGAAATGGTTAGCAAACTTTTCTCATTAAATCAATTATGATTAACTAGTGATTTCGATTGTCATTCGATGCTTCACACATTCGGCCTTGTGCCACATCTAAACTACGCTTAGAAAACCAATGCTGGATACATTGACATACTGTTATGGTTACCAACATTTTCCGGCTAGATCAATTACGACTGAGAAGTGAGTTCGAATGTCACTGGGTGCTCCATATATTCGACTTCGTGCAACATCTATGCTAGGCTTATAAAATCATTTAAGGGCACTTTGACATAATGTAATGGTTAACAAACTTTTCTCATTAAATCAATTACGATTAACTAGTGATTTCGATTGCCGTTGGATGCTTCACACATTCGGCCTTGTGCCACATCTAAACTACGTTTAGAAAACCATTGCTGGATACTTTGACGTAGTGTTAAGGTTACCAACATTGTCCGTCTAGACCAATTCCGACCGAGTAGTGAGTTCGATCCTCACTGGCGGCTCCATACTTTCGGTCCCGCACCACGTCTAAGCTACGCTTAGTGAATCGTAATGACCGAAACTTAGTGTATATCATAATATCCACCCCTTCATCTTTTCATCCTATTTGTTTTGTATGTTTTTTTTAACTGTGATGAACAAAGTTTGATACCCAAAATTCATATGAAACACTTTTATGCATGTTGATAGGATCTGACTTTCAAATCAGAGCAGTGAAAAGTGATTGGCTGAAAAATAATATTTGTCTACGCTGAATTCTGATTGTTAGCTTCACGCTTTGCACCTGCTCCTTTTTCTGTAATTAAAGTGGGGCTATCTAGAATGAAGGACAATGCCACAAGGACATTTTAAAGGGAGACATTAAAAGAATGCGAAAGATTAAAAAACGAAAAATACTTGAAAGAGAAATATAGACAAAAGGGAAACTTGCATTTCTATTTTTATTTTGGCTACATAAGAAATTTGAGAATAACAATGTTTGCCGGCTTACGAACATATCACGTTTAAACACCGGTTCTCGTCCTATCAGCGAAGTTAAGCAACGTCGGACCTGGTCAGCACCTAGATGGGTGACCTCTTGCGAATACAACGAGGCTGTAAGCTTGAATGTGCGGGTACTGTAATTGATAACGGCACAGAATGACAAATCGGATATCCGAGTTCGATTTCCCGTCGGGTTCAATATATTCACTTACGTGAGAAAAAAAAAAGTATGAATCTATTTCTTTACCTCCAGCCATGGGTTAAATAGTTCCTCTTGAAGAAGGAAATATTTATTAGCTTCAAAAGGATTCTTACAATCCCAGAATACGTTCTAGCTTTAAATAATCTGAAAAAGTTTGATAAATCGTAAAAAAAAAATCAATTATGTTTGTCTAAGTATGTAAATTTACTATCTGGGATTTCACACACTTTTGTTTGTCCGTCCGCACAAAAACTCTATATGTTCTGAATAAAATGCAATTATATATTTCTCTTAAAACAGTTTTTCAAGAAATAAAAAAACAGTTTTCTCAATACATTAACTGTTATTGCTCTTTCCATTACTGAAAGAGGTTTCCTTCCTAACTTTTTGTTTGAAGTAGTGTGGAAGATCAACATCTTGATCAATGTCATTATTTTCTCTTCGAGTTCATCTGATGTCCATTTTAGTCGCTGCTGCTGTCGAAAGTTCTCAAGTAATATGCTTTGGTAAAGATATTTATGATTCTCTAACACCAGTTCATGATAGTCAAAGAAGGACGGTCTTTACTAAGACTGTCAGGCTTCATTCGTTAAAATCCATTTTTAATCATTGATCTGAGAAAGCGGTTGAGAGCTCGGACATTTCTAAACGGATTGTTTTTTTTTTGTTTTGTTTTTTAAGCAAATCACCCCAATCAAGGTGGGAGTGCCACTAGCACGCAAGGGGTTACAGAGAGTGAGAGTAAGTGTAAAGAGGAGTATTTGGGAAAGGAGATAAAGAGAAGGACAGGGATCAAGGTCAAGGCATCAGAAAATGTCGATTGACATTACATTTGAATATTTGAAGATTATAGCTATCAGGGAAACAAGTGATAGGAAGGAAATTCCACTGACGGGAGATGCGAGATAAGAAGCTGTTGGGGTAGAAACGATGGCTACATTTAGTCATTTCAACAGTGAAAGTGTGGGACCAAGCTGCCAACAAAAGTAGCACGTTGAAATTCCTGCAGTTTGGGAGCAAATGAAAGTAGCTCGTCGGAGCAGTTGCTATGAAAGTACTTTTAGAAAAGACAGAGGGAAGCCACAGTACGTCTGTGAGAAAGTGACTGTAGACGAGATGCCAGATAAGGATCAATCACGTTGTATCTACGTCTCTGGATATTTTTCGAGGGCCACGAGATGAACAGCCGGAGCATCAGACCATATATGGCAGCAGTATTCCATCCAAGGACGAATGGTTGATTTGTAAATTTGAAGGAGGGATTCAGATGTCAACTTGGGATATGAAACGCTCGATCTTGCGAGATTATTTAAGTACTTAACACGGGTTCTCAGTTTAATGTTTTGGTATATCGTAAATTGTAGTTGTGGAGAAAACTACGCCGAGTGCAGCCTAATTTACATTCATCTTTCCCATCGCCTATATTAACTTGGTTAAAACTGATCCACACATCGATTAAAGTGTATTTATAGATTTCCTATCCTAATTTTTATTATGGGTTCAGTGAATGTGCCATCGTTGATTTTACTCCAAGTTCAGATCATAGTTTTCGATTTGGTAAACTTTATCTTGAGATACCTATTAGAATACATATCTGGCATGTATTTATGGATTCTTTCAAAATACAAAGAAGAATTTGCACTGTTACTGATCCTAACCTTACATCTCGTCTTCAGTCCTTTTCCCACTGCCGTAACGTAGCTTCCCTGTGCATTATCAATAAATATTTTCATGGTAATTATCCTGATGAGCGTTCCTCTTTGATGCCTAGATTTTACGAATTTAAGCAAGTGGTTGGTTGGTTTTGTGGCTGGTTAGTTCGGTTGGTTGGTTGGTTGGTTGGTTGGTTGGTTGGTTTGGTGGTTGGTTAGTTCGGTTGGTTTGGTGTTTGGTTGGTTGGTTGGTTGGTTTGGTGTTTGGTTAGTTCGGTTGGTTGTTTGTTTGGTTGGTTGGTTGGTTGGTTGGTTGGTTGGTTGGTTGGTTCGGTTGGTTGGTTGGTTGGTTTGGTGGTTGGTTAGTTCGTTTGGTTGATTGGTTGGTTGGTTAGTTCGGTTGGTTGGTTGTTAGGTTGGTTGGTTGGTTGGTTGGTTGGTTTGATTGTTGGTTAGTTCGGTTGGTTGGTTGGTTGGTTGGTTGGTTGGTTGGTTGGTTGGTTGGTTGGTTGGTTGGTTAGTTCGGTTAGTTTGTTGATTGGTTGGTTGGTTGGTTGGTTGGTTTGGTGGCTGGTTAGTTTGGTTGGTTGGTTGGTTTGGTGGTTGGTTAGTTCGGTTGGTTGGTTGTTTGTTTGTTTGTTTGGTTGGTTGGTTGGTTGGTTTGGTGGTTGGGTAGTTCTGTTGGTTGTTTAGTTGTGTGTTTGTTTTTTTTGGCTGGTTGGTTGGCTAGTTGGTTGTTTGGTTAGTTGGTTTAGTGGTTTGTTGGTTAGTTGAGTGGTTGGTTGAGTGGTAGATTGGTTGGTTAGTTGGTTTTGTTTAGTGCCATATCAGCCTCTATGGATTATTATTTAATGCCGAAATGTAAATATTTTGTACATAATTTTATTTTCATGGTAAAAGGTAGTTTTTAGATATATAGTTTGTAGATCATAAAATGTATTCTTGGTAATTTCCTTACAAAATGTATTGTTGGTAAATTTTTTATAAAATATCTATTGGTTATGTTTTTATATTTATTTTTGTGTTGTAATGAATGACATTTCGCTATAAAACGTATTGTTCATCATTTTTATATAAAAAAAAAGACCTGTTGATTTTTTGCTGGAGGGTTCCTATTTGCCTATAACTTGGATCTATCTGGTACTACCACCCCAGGTTAGAGTGAATCTGGCCACGTTCCTCAAAATCTCCAATCTCCCGACCAGAGGCCTTGCTGCCGGATGTAGTTTATCGTCTTACCTAACTTTACAGACGTTCTAACAAAGATTCACTATCCTGTATGAAAATAAAAAAAATATATTTTCTTAATGCCAGTCGGTAATTTTCTTTTTGTTGTTTAATTTGTTTAAAAAAAAAGCTGATCTCACTTTTTTTCGGTTCGCTTGATAACTGCTCGCGCAACTGGAATGCAATCACCTGATTTCTTCTGTTACCTTCTAAATTTATTTTTCTTCGTTTCTATCTGCCACCAGCTTTGAGAAAAAGACGGGCCATTATTATGATTAGTTTTCTTTCAAGACTCACTCGTGAAACTGTTGAGAGTCAATCTCACATTCCTTCGCAAATGATGATCGGCAATAGTTAACACTTTTTTTTTTGTTGCGGGGGTGGGGGCGGTTCTTTTTTTTTTTTTTTAATCTTCTTTTTACTTATTCCTTAATCAAAAAGCTCACTTCCAATATACTGTTAAGGCACCCGATTTCATTTTTTCATAAATTTTGACGCTTAATTTCTTAAAAAATATCCTGAAGTACAACCATTATTACAATAGAATAATTCCTATTACAAACATTGCTGGTAATGCTTTTCAAACAAGACTGCACAAAATAAAAAAGAGGGGGCTAAATTCTTTGTTAAATATTGGAAAGGGGTTAATGAACTGTAAAAACAGAAGAGTGGGAGTAAATCAACTGATAAAAGTGGAGAGGGAGATAAATCATTTGTTAAGAGTGGGAGGGGGGCTAAATCAGTTGTCAAATGCGGGGGTGGCTCTAAATTACCTGTAAAAAGAAAAAATGGGACTAGATCAGCTTTTAAAAGTGGAGGTGCGGCTAAATCAGAGATTAATTTGTAAAGATTACTGATTCTAAAACGAATATTTATTTTTAGATCTAAAGTCCTACTAGAAACATTTTTTATTTCGTTTTTTTATTATAATGACAAAAGTACACAGGTATAGGCTTTAAGAAAGATTTATTCAACTGATAATACAAGGTTCGCACATTGTGTCCTTTTATAGTCCCAGTAAACAGAAATAGCTCTCTCACAGAGGAGAGTAACAAAACAAGGGTTAATAAATATGAACACCCATTACTTACTATTACCACTGACCTCTAGATACGAGTAGCCAATAAATAAATATATCAAAGCTTCTTGGCCTATGAAGAAGAAAGGTTGTGATCTTGTAATTGATTTCATTTGTTTCTTCCTTGCGAAAATAAATCTATTTAAGTACTGTTATCAAAGACGTTCTTTCCGAGACAATATTTAGATTCGTAAGAAAAGACTTTACATTCTTATTACTTATCATTATTAGTTATTCCTGTCCACAGACCCGAGGTGCCTGATAGCTGTCACAAGGGATCAAGCTATAACAAAACTTTACAAAATGCCAGCCCTCTCTTCAGCTATGCACAGAGATTTTTCAGCAATGCTATATTATTCCAGGTCTTTATTTTCGTTCGTTTTTTTTTAAGTTATTAGAAACCATTCCTAGTGCACCAGAGATTATGGTACCAGTTTCTCTTATACCTACAGCTTTTGAACTTTTCATGAAATATAAGCTGTAAATAGTCAGAAAATATATTTAGATTGCAAGATTTTGTTTTTCTTTACTTTTGAGAGATGATAATTATTTAGTTAAGCAAGAGATCACGTGACAGATATACTTCGCTATATGCTAGTGAATTATGGACAATCTCCTCAAAGATGAAGAAGAAAATTGAATCAACAGAAACGTAATTCTACAGAAAGGTGCAGAGGATACCATGGGCCGAACACGTGAGCAACGACGAGGTTTTGAAGAAAATAGAAATAAAAAGGAAACTTATTTTTAACATCAGGAAGAGGCAGTTGAAATTCCTGGATAGCATAATGAAGAAGAGGCACTTGGAAAATCTCATACTCACAGGAGAGATTGAAGGAAAGAGGGACAGAGGAAAGCAGCACGGAACATACTCGATGGGTTTGAGAAAATGGATGCCAGAACAGGGTCTGGAAGAAATAACAAAAAGTCAAAACTTATTAAGAGCTACAAGGGACAGG